ATGTTTAAGAGTTGGATGCACTGATTTTTATCTGCTGTATTCATTTCAATATAAAGAATATAAATAGCCTTTTGAATACAACCCCCCCCCAAAAAAAAAATTAAACACAAGTGATACTCTTCCCCAACATCTTTTGCCTAATTGAAAAATTCTGTGATTGCTACACCTTTTACAGATGAGCATTTCTTTCAAATGATGCAAAATGATCTCTCAACATACAACTTGTAGCATATACAGTCAAAAGTCATTAATCCGGACTCGTCGGGACTTCGGCGATTCCGGATTATCGATTTTTCCGGATTATAGATCATCAGTTTAAATCTCGTAAGATGGCATGCAGAAATTATAAAATTAAAAATGTAAAACCGTTATTTATGACATATAAGAGCAACAATTGATGATTGAAAAGGGTATCAAAAATTTACAAAAAAAAAAAGCTTAATATTTATTTGTTTACTTTATTAAACATTTCTTTTAATGTAAGTTGTTTAAGTTGCTTTGTTTTATGTGATAATACTTTCTCTTTAATTCTATAAACAGATATAATTTCTTGTTCAGTTACAAAGTTCCGCTGTTCAAGTTCTTTAATTGCTGTGCCGAGAATACCGACTAACTTGTCAATCGAAATTTTTTCGTTTTCACTAACCTCTCTGTCACATTCTTCATGTCTTTATCCATTTTTTGCAGAAATTCCACTTTTTGTTTGATGGACATCGAAACATACTTTCATTTTGTACGATTCTGTGGGAGCTCCAGAATCGGAAATTCTATTTGACATAATCGAAAGTTCAAGTTTACTTTTATACTATTGCTCTTACATTCTGCAAAAAATAATAAGCCGGATCCAATTCGAAAATTAAGGAACAACGCGATCATCAACATTAACTGAGATAGATAATTAGATAATTTTAGCTTATACCGTCCGTTATACATAAAACGCGCACGCGAAAACGTATTCTGCGTTTGTGCACACGCACAGGGATAAATAGAAGGGCTAGGTCATTCCTTTGTTCGACTCCTCGCCGACGCGAGTCTCATTGAGGGGGGGAACCGGAAGTCATCTGACGTATCTCTGTTGCACCTGCTCTGATTTCGCGCCTTTAAAACTGTAGTTTCATTCAGTTGCGAGACGATTTTCTGGAGATCGCATATCCCAAATTAATGTTAATCATACATATTTGTTTTCTAATAATGCAAATATTTAAAATAATTTGTGTATATATAGTTTTAGTCAGTTTTCCTTTTAAATTCTATATTTAAAGTATCCTTTATGTAATATGGCTTCTTGTGCTGTAGCAACGTGCCGTAACACTTATAGAAATACGAAAGGAAGAGATATTGTATTTCATGCTTTCCCCAAGGACAATTTGCTTTTGACGAAAGAATGGATACATAAATGTCGAAGACAGGATTCTATTAATGTGAAAAACGCAAGAATTTGCAGCGAACATTTTCTGTGCAGTGATTATGAAGATGACATGAGAAATCGCTTGCTTGGATTGCCGAAAGTAAATTTATTGTGTGCAGTAAACAAAATAACACCAAGAAATCGGAGACATTTGAAAAAACTAATGCAGAGTGCTTTTGAAAGACTACACGAATTAAGCCCAAAGAAAATTTATTTTGAGGCCGAGAACGAAATTGAAGCTGACAATAATAAATCAAATGTGAATGATTTTGAAATAAAACTCACAAGTGACAATGCCCTATGTGACAATATCCCTGAGTGCCCTAAGTGTAAAGATAAACAAGAATGTATTGATAATTTGGAGAACAAAATAATATCCTTAGAAAATTGTAATAAAATATTGAAAAATAGAAAAAAGAAAGATTTTAGAATGTTGCTCAGACAAAGAATGACAAAGAAGGTAGACGACATCTAGAAAGAAATTTGTATCGGAATTCAGAAATTAAAATCCCAAACAGCAAAATTTAGGAAAACAGAACACACATCGGAGAATTTGGAAAAACGTCTAAAGCATATTTTTACAAAGACGCAGATTAACGCATTGCTAAAGAGAAGGAAAAATCCGGTGGACTAGTGAAGATATTTCACGTTGCATTGTCATAGGAGCTCTGTCATCTAAAAGTTACGATTTTTGGAAAGGAAAAATGGGAATTCCTTTACCTAGCACTAGCACATTAAAGGAGATGGTGTGCTAAATTTTCATGTAGTCCAGGAATTCAGAGTGATGTTCTTGCTGTAATAAAGGAAAGATGCCGAATATTTGAATTCTGTAGAAAAAAGTATGCGTTCTCAGTTTCGACGAAATGCACATAGATTCTAAACTTCTGCTATGAATTCCAAACTGGACCAAATTCTCGGTCCTTTTCCAAAAGTGCAGTTTGCTTTAATCAGAGGTCTCATTCCGCAGTGGAAACAACCAATATTTTTTGATTTTAACACTCCAATGAAGAAAGAACTTCTTTTTTCACTCATAAGACATATTCAATCATCTAGAGTAGAAGTGAAAGCAATAGTGTCTGATTTAGGAGGATCTACTACTTTGTGGAAAGAGTTACAGATTCGATTAATAGTTCTCATTTTCCAAATCCAGTATTCCAAACGAAAAAAATATGGGTTTTTGCAGATTTAGCGCACTGCCTCAAATTACTGAGTGTTGGTGTATTTAATTATGACAAAGCACACTAGGGCTATCTGCCTAAGGGGAGAGATGCCTTCGTGGAGGACTTTCTAAGGGAAACTGGCTCGTATACACGTTACACATGGGGAAAACCACGAAAACGCCCATGCAGCCAGCCCGTTCGCGGGATTCGAACCTCGGACCGAACTACCAGTGTTCAGCGACTTAACCGGTCGGCCTCTGGTGGGCTCAAATTACTGAGAAACCACTTTTTAGATAAAGGATTTGTTTTAGAAGATGGAACTGTTTTAAATGTTGATATTATTAAAGAGAATTAAATTGTGTCACAAACTAAAACCAAATATTTAATGGGCAAGGGAAACGAGAGACAAAAAGTAAGTATATATAATTGTTTTGATTTGAAATATTTTTAGATTGCATTTTAAAAGTTAATAGCGTAAAGCATATTTCAAATGAGAACTAATTCTGTTAAGTGTTATTGTTACAGTTATTTTTTATTGTATCCTCTGTTATTATTGATTCGATTTTGTGCTAGCTTAGCATTCTAGATAAAATATATATAAAGTATAATATTAAAGTAATTGGCATAAGAAGACCTGCCCCCTTAACCCCCACTTTTGAAAATTAAATAATTATTTTAGGTACTGTGAGTAAAGTTTGTTTGTCTAAATTAAGATAACAATCTTACATGTATTATTTAAATGAAATATTGATGTAAGCCTAAGTTACCAAATTATTTTTAAAAAAATATACATGTTATTATAATGAATCGGGAGAAAAATATGCTAATGTAAAATTTACAATTAGGCTGAAACTCAAACTTAGATTAGCAGAAATTTTGCCATATATTGTAAGCATCTTAAGTTTTACTAACGTTTATTTTTATTTTAAATCTTTACTATCACTTCTTATTTTCTACTTCCGGCCAGAATTATAAGCGTTAAGGTTTTTATGCAAAGTTGTCTGGCGAACGCCAAGTATTTAAGTTGTGGCTTTTTGCCAAGCGAGAGAGAGGAAGCAGTGAGTCAAAGCGGGCCGCTTACCTTAGAAGTTACGCAGTTGCTTGTTGCCTTCCAGGCCAGAGGTTTTAATCCTCTTGATAAATTTTAAACGTATTGTAGCTTAGCATTCTACATACGCTTCACAGTTCACTGTACTACATACGCTTCCTGTTAATATAAGGCCAATCTTCCACGTGTATTATTCTAAAGTTAAATTATAGTTTTATTTTTATACTTTTACGTTTTGACCCCAAGTAGCGGGTCGGTGTATTCCGAAGTACGGAAGTCATTGTAAATAGCGAAAAATAAAGGGTTTTGTATACCCTTCTTGTGTATCCTGTTTACTTCCCACAGTTTTGAACATAGCTTTAGCAAGCTCTCTGTTCCGAGTCAGGTCCTTGCATGTTCCCGAAGAAGGTTAGAAGGAACATTGAACCTGATAATATAACCATACACGTTTAAAACTATGCCAATTTAAGGTTGTTTTTTTGATTAATTTTAAATAGCTGTTATTATAGTTATCTTAGCAGTAGTACAGTTCTCTTAGTTAACATGCAGGTAAAGAAATGATTAGAAACAAACAGGCATTTAAAGAAAAAAAATCCCTGCAAATAAAAAAAGGAACTTTATGCTAAGAGTAGCGCATTTTATCTATTATTTTAAAATTGAGTAAGTACTATTAAATTTTGTAATGTTCAGTGTAAAAATGCATACTGCAATAACATTGTCTCTTCCAAATTATAGCTATCTTTCACACACAGCTCCTTTTAAACGCTGGTTCTTCAAATTTAAAACGCTAATTTCTATGTTGTCAATTGCATCTCCGCGCTCAGTGGCATCATTGCTACGTCATCACTCCTCACAGCCCGTTTCAGGGGGAAACGCTCTATGAGCTAGCCCTTCTCTTCAGTCCTGGCACACGCATATGCGCAGTCGTAAAAGGTCTTACGTGCACGCGTAAACGCCTATGCGCATGTGTCAATGCGGCGCATGCGCAGAAAGTTTTTAGCTTTGAGGTCCGAATTAACGACTTTTGACTGTATTGATATGCATACCCGAAAACTATAATTGAAGAGTACTTAGTAGTAGTCTTTATTTGCTCAGTTCTATCAAGAACATAAACTCTATGCCATGAAATGCATGATTTTTATCTTTAAATCCAAAACATGAAACTAGTAATGACAACATATGCAGATGAAAGAGGAGAAAATTGGATGGCAATTTCTAGACTTCTCGATAAATTTCCTAACAAATACAGCCTTAAAAAACTGAATATAGTTTCTTTCTGCTTTTTACAGATATGCCAAGACATTGAAAAATAGATTTATTATGATGGCACAAATGAAAGTCAAACAAGGAAAGTTAAGAGAAAGAAATGTATGTAAGTAATTACCTTGAATGCTTATTTCTGCTGCCAAAGCATGGGTGAAGTATTTATAAGTCACATCAAACTGGAATTTGGTTGGGTCCTGGTCACATCGTTGTATATCAATTACAGGTACATATTTGCTGAATACTAACCATAGATCTTTCTCCTTTTCTTTAACCGACTGTGGAAATTTTTCTAATTGTAAGGCAACATTACTTACATCACTGCACGAGGATTCAATTTCAGCTGCTGCTAACAACAAGTGTCTCAATGTCATAACGCGAACATTTGAAGACACCAAAGGTAATCCATGCACAGCTCGATTCGCAGCTTCCTCATCAAAATAAGCCACAACATGAAATCCTATTTCATATGAATTTCCATTTTTTGCCCACCTATAAAGATATTTTCACTTCAGATGATTAGAATGTATGTATACTTCTAGGTATATAAGAGAATTAAAAAGGAATACTTGACTGCAGCATGATTCTAAGAAACATAGTGGATTATTATTAATTTGAACCTGACCAGCAAAACTACTTGAGTTTTAGAAAGAAATCCAATACAAATTAAAAAATAATTTTGAATTATATTTATTTGACTGAATTTTGGTGAATTTGTGCATTTTGAATTAAATGAGAAGAACACATCCTCCACGGTGGTTAAAACATCAATTAAAAAAGAAGGGAGATTGGAAAAAATTTCTATTTTTTATTTATTTATTTTTTATAAATGCAGTCACTTATCAATAACAGTTATTAATGGTATTATTTTGCTTTGAACACTGGCATTTTGTAATGACATTCATTATGCACAGATATCAGGCAGTAAGATGATATTTTATATATTGCTAGAACAAGTCCATAATAACACAAACAGCTAAGTAATTTAGGATAATCATGTTGGCTGTGCTAATTGAAATCTATTAGCAGAGTCACATCATTTGCACCTGGTCAAAGCCTTTCTTAGGATGTCATCATTGTGGCCTATTCGAGGTTTACCAGAGAAAAGAAGCCATATATTTTCACTTTATTTTGTAATTCAATATTTTTCAGTATAACAAATTTGAAATTTCATTTACAGCAGTATCAAGCTTAAAGTTGCAACTGCTATTTACAGAAAATCATTTAAATATAAGAAGTATAAGAAAGTAAAATATGTAACATCAAATGATGTGAAAAAATTGTTAATATTACTTCATACTAACTGCTCACATAGCCAGCCACTAAAATAATTATTATTAAAACAAATCTGATGTGTACCACCCCATGACTTCCTTGTACGGAATATTAAATTATACGCATTTTTTCTTGCATTTCAGTTAAACTTACTGGATTGAATTAAATCTACTTCGTCGACAGCACATAAACACAATAGAATAAATGTACTCTTTAAAATTCACTACAGTACAAAGTCTTTAATCCAGATGTCCATAATCCGGAATGATCTATAATCAAGACCTCAAAGCTACAAACTTTCTACGCATGTGTAGCATTTAAGCATGTGCATAATACGTTTACGCATGCACGTTTAATATATCACAGACAGTGTGCTACAAAGCTAGGCTAAAATTACCTAATTATCTATTTCAGTTAATATTGCAGATTGCATTGTTCCTTAATCTTCTAATTGGATCTGGCTTATTATTTTTTGCAGACTGTTAGAGCAATTTTATAAAAAGTAAGCTTGAACTTTTGATTATGTCAAAAAGGGTTTCCGATTCTGGAGCTGCCAAAAGATCTACACAGCGAAAGCATTTTCGATGTCCATCAAACAAAAAGGTGGAATTGCTGCAAAAAATGGATAAAGGCATGAAGAAAGTGACAGAGAGGTTAGTGAAAATGAAAACATTTCGATTGACAAGTTAGTCGATATTCTCGACTCAGCAATTACATGACTTGAACAGCAGAACTTTGTAACTGAACAAGAAATTATGTGTGTTTATAGAAAAGAGAAAGTATTATCACATAAAACGAAGCAATTTAAAACACTTACATTGAAAAAAAAAAAAGAAATTACAAAGAAATGTTTAATAAAGTAAACAAATAAATATTAAGCTTTTTTTTTTTTTTTTTTTTTTTTTTTTTTTTTGTAAATTTTGATATCCTTTAGATCATAATTGCTCTTTATTTTATAAATTACAGTTTCATATTTTTAATTTTATAATTTCTGCATGCCATCTTACCAGATTTAAAATGATGACCTACAATAGAGAAAAACCCCTAATCCAGAATCACCAAAGTCCCGACGAGTCCGGATTAAAGACTTTGTACTGTATATTTGTTTACCATAGCGACACACTGGCGCTAGGTTCACTTAACAGCATTACATTTTGTTCACATTATAACTCAGAATGCACAAAATTTATATCATTTGAAGAATTATCTAATCATTACCAAATGTTCTATTCAAATACTACAATAAATCTAGAACGATGCATAAAAGAAATTAAGCAAACAAAAACAAAAAAAGTTTTTCACAGATGATTCAGCATTTCTCATTCAATTAAGTCAGTTCTCACTTCGCAACAAGGCAAAAATACATAAAATCTCAAAATATCTATATTAAAAATTACGAAATAAACCTGAAACACTTATTTCCTCGAAAAAATTCCAGAAAGGATTAAGCATGATTTAAATCGCAATAATAAATGAACGCGTTATCTTTGTTGTTGTGAAGCTTAGTCTCTCTAGATTGGCACCAAATCTACTATTCTGCTATTTCAAATGTAAAGAAAACACGTCTGCCATGGTATTTAAAAATTAGGCTTAACTGCACTTAAACAGCCTTTAAATTCAAAATCGTAAAAACAACCTTGTATTTAGCGTAAGTATAATGAAACACTCATGTACAAAGTATAATGAAACCTTGTATTTAGCGTAAGTATAATGAAAACTTTTAAATTGTTGATAATTCTATAAATATTGCTTGCAGATTTCCTAAAGGCATAAAAACGTTATCCAGAAGATAAGAAGAACATAATTCTATCATTTTTAAAGCAAAAAATGCACAATTTACAAACATATAAGAGTAAAGAAACTGAGTTCATTGAGGTGGGTATCAGAGTGGATATATATATATATATATATATTTATATACGTTTGGTGCGGCCGATTGCAACCAAAATAAGAGGTGCACATCTACATGTTATAGTAGTCCTACATACAAAATTTCAACATTCTGAGGCTACTCGTTTTTGAGTTATGCGAGATACATACGTACGTACAGACACCACGAAAAATTCTCTTCAGAATTCATTTTAAAGCAGTTTTATAATTTTTTTGGAGGAAAAGTCTTTTATTCTGTCCTTACGTACAGATGTCACGCAAAAACATTGTTATATTGCATTCAATAGCGATCAAAATGGATATTTTTGTTGAAATATGCTGCCTGAAACTTTTCGCAATTACAATACAGTCAAATGCCGAAAATCCGCCGACCTGAAATCTGCGTTGCCTCTCAGAATATAAACATTCCGCTTATAGGTTCCGGAAACCGCAACATTGAGTACGAAATATCGAAGAAAAAAATACTTGCCATTGAATAAATGACATCATAATTACCGAATAATAATGAGTCAGAACGGAAATACCAAATTATTTATATAAAAAGTTTAAAAAATAAGATAAAATAAATACGATAAGTTTTTTTTTTCCTCTAATCTGCATCGAGGTAAAAAGGCAGACGATTCACTCAACTCTTTGTTCATGTTCACAATTCACGTTGTTGTATTTTCTGAGCTTTTTTTATTTCATTTCATGAGACTGTTTAGTGCTGCCTTTTTTTATCTGGATATTTTGTGGATAAATTAAGAATATTTTTAATTTCAGCCCTTTTTAATATAATCACAGATAAGAAACGCACTCGTGATTTTTACTGCTTGCAACGTTGAAAAACGTAAACCGTTCACATCGACGGGAACTCAAAAAGTGCAAATTCTGCAAAAGATGGAAGCAAGTGCTTCTTCTCGATTTATAGCAGAATGGTATGGAATTGCGACACGATTGTTTATGATATACAGAAAAATAAAGAAAAGCTGTTGAAATTTTACAGCAACAGTGATTCTAACACCAGAATCCGTAACCAGAAATCTTTGCATGAGGCGAAATCGGCAAACCTTGATGCTGTGTACATATAATACAATGAATAATATAATCAATTTATATATGTAATAATAATTTAATGCATATAATAAATTATTGCAATAATGTATATAATAATTTAATTAAATGTATCTAATACACCTTATTCATTTTGCACTTTTAGTTCAAATATTGTGCTTTATCTTTTCTTTCCTGAAATCCGCAAAATCCTAAAATTCGCACACCTTCTGGTCCTAAGCTTTGTGGATTTCTGGAATTCTACTGTAATTCCTTTTTACTTTGTACAAGGAAGTAAAAAGTACAATTTATGGTTTTATTGAATCCAGTTAATGCAATTTCTTGGGTACAGCTAGTAATTAATAATAACTGAAATAAATTGCTTTAGATTGCTTTAGATAAATTTATTGCTTTCAGATTGCTTAGTTTATTAATTAATGACTGAATAAATTTGAAAGAAAAGTTAAATATTAGTTAGCCACCCAACATGTATAGTAGTTAGCAACACTGACTACTGTACCTAAGGGTCTGGGTTTGAATTCTGGAGAAAGCAGGGATGTTTGTAAATGCTATATCTGTGCAGCATGGGAGCACTAAAAATATGCAACAAGCCAAAAGTCCTTTTAGCCGTATCTACATACAACTTCTCAGTAGGAGATTGACGGGATCTACTCTCAGAGAACTCCTCACGAAAGATAGGTGGGATACCCTTGAAGAGGTCCCCCCCCCGGGCTGCTCTCCATCAAAATTGGAGGTAGACCTTGATAGAAATCACTTAAATGGCAGATATATTTTGAAATATAGCAGAAAGAAATAAGCAAACCACAAATGTACGTTACATGTTTATTTACTTGACTAACTGTTGCCATTCAGCAAAAAACAAAAAGAGCTACACATGAATATTAAGGAACATAGAATGTATATTTATGGCATTGCTTTGGCAGATACAACATCATAAAAAAAAATAAAGATTATTTCTAACACTCCTCCTTGCCAAAGTATGCCTAAAAAAAACTTTCACTTAAATTGATTAAATACAACCTTCAAAAAATAAGGAATTTTAAAAAAAAGGAACTTGCTGTAACTCTTCGTAACTCAACAATAAAAAATTGGTAAAAGAAATTTACAAGTGTTATGAGCATACTCAGGTACTTTTTATATCACACATCGGAGGGCTATTTGTGAAAACCTAAATATTTTCTCAAGTTGGTTAATACTGCCTTTGAAATGTTTTTAGTCAGAAGATCAGCTATGTTTTCCTTGGAATTTACGTATTCCAATTTAATCACACCTTG